AGAGAAATATGATATATTTCTTATTCTCGTTCCTCTATAGGCAAGATTTTTTTCCCTTTATTCTTTCCAGATTTTCTCTTTGTTTTTGATTTTTTGCAGTTAGAATATGATATATCAAGGTAGATTTTTTTTAGCATTCATGCTGCTTAGTATTCTCTTAACTTCTTGCATCTGTGGTTTGGTATCTGTCATTAACTTTGGAAAATTCTCCGCTATTAAAACTTCACATATGGCTATTGTTTCTTTGTCTCTTTCTTCTCTTTTTGCTATTTTCATTACATGTATGATACTCCTTTTGTAATTTTCCATCAGGTACTTCATATTTTGTTACATTTTCCATTTATTTTTCTTTTTGTATTTCAGTTTAGGAGGTTTCTATTGAGATGTCTGTTACCAGAGACTCAAATTCCTCCCTTGCTCATGGGAGTGACCTTGAGGTTCTTAGGGTACTGCTGAAATAAGAATTTTCAGAAGCCTCCACCAGAGAATGAGATGTAAAGGTTTTATTTGCATGGAGTTACATTCCTTGGGTTCCAAGGTCCCATGCTTCTTAAACCAGTCCTGAAAAAGGTACAGCTGGGGTTCCAGTAGAGCTAAAAGCAAGGCCAGTGTCCAGAGCTTCTATTCCATGTTGCAGCAGGGTGTATAGTTCAGCATTCAGGCTAATTAAAAGTCCATTAGTCCATTATGTGGGTACAGGGGAGCAAATCCCCCTGCAACAGGAGTGCAGACAAGCAGGTGAGGGAGGAGTGTGCCTCTTTGTCTAGAAGTTTAAATATTCAGGTTTTGCATGATTGCAGTGGCCACCCCCATCCTGGCCGCTAATTTGTTCCTAGGTATGACTGGCAGATAAGTAGGCACCTTCCCACATCCCTCATACCTTACTGGGCATGTGTCCAAACTACCTTTGTTCAGTCCCTTCCCCCAGCTAACAGTGGGGAACAGAGTTGAAGAGTGTTAAATGCAGCTTTCTGTCAAAGCTGTATAAATGGCTTGCCTATATTATCTGGTCTCCTCTTTACTACCTTCCTGTTAAATAATAACCAGGTTATTACAACAGCATCATATCTTCAAGATCATTGAAGTCTCTGTCTTTTAATGAGCTTCTACCTCTGTGCTGTGACCTTCACAAGTGCTTCTCAGTTTTCCTCCCCTTTTTAGGTGAGACAGGAAAGTCTGAGGAGACTGGAATTGGGTATTTCCCTTCCTCTCAGGTAGGCTAGATTTGGTAGAAACAAAGTCTTTTAGGCCCTGGTAAAAGAGTTTCCTTAAGGGCAGGCCTTTGTTAAGGAGAACAGAGTGTTCTGGGCTTATTTCAAGATAGTTGTGTTTCCCCTTCCCCTGCCAGAAGCATATGGAAACATTTCTCGGCTCTTCACCCTGAGACCGTGGAAGCGAATCTTACAAAAGTGTGGGGCACCTTTAAAATTCAATCCCATGGAGGTTTTAACTCTTAAGTTAGTCCACACTGGGTCTGTATTGACTCATTGATTACAGTTTAAGTGTTTCTACTGTTGGCTACTGATCCTGGGTTACAGCTCCAGTACACTGTGATTGTCAGCATTTGCTTATATCTCAAGTTTTGGGGTCAATAGTTTGCCCTGTGACCTAAACTCTCTGATGGATCTAAGAAGAGTTGTTGATTTTCATTTTGTTCAGCTTTTTACTTGTTGAAAATATGAGAGTGACAACTTCCAACCTTTTTCAAGTGTTACTTTTAATAATAGGTCCTAAATAAATCTTTCAGAGGTAGTGATTTCTGTCACCTGAATTTATTTACTTGTTAAAATTTTGCCAGTGTTCACTTTTCCATGGAACTTGCCTTCAATGTTAATCCTTAGATGAGATATTCTAAGGTTATTTGAAGTATATCCCAGATCTCCTAATTTGTATCCTTTATTTCAAGGATATGGTGTGTCTCTTTCACACATTCTGCAATGACATACTTCTTTGTCCCCTCCTAGAAAACACTCCTTTCTTCCTTTTGTCTAAGCAAAGTCTTCTCATGTCTTTTACAGCTAATTTAGTCAATAATAGTCTTTCCCTTCTTTGAAATCCCATTGTAAACATGACTGTACCACCCTGCTTTACCTCATTTTGTCTATATTTTTAACCGTGTAGATCATGTTTTATTGACATGATCATTAAAATTAAAATTTAGCTAGATTTTAATTTGTATTGGGAATATGGACCTGGTCTTTTAATGCTTATATTTCTCTTACACCAAATATGTAGCCAGAGCTAGGCACTTATTAAGGGATTGGCAAAGAATCATTGATAGGCTGTTACATATCAATATTTGCTAGGAAATTGTGACTGCCTTCAGAGTGATTTATAAACATAAACACTAACTTGCTCTTTTATTCCTCAAAAGCAAGTCACCCCTAGCTTTTCAAGAGCTGATAATTAAGATACCTCATTTATATTAATAGACAGATGAGGGATCATTTTTCAAATCCTCTCTCCAGATTCTTTCTGCAGCCTGTAAAGAGCTGTTTTTGGAAACTGAATTAGAAATGAAGAGGCAAGGGACTGGTCTGGAGGGACAGGATCAATTTTCTGCCTCATGCCTAGCAGGGGCCTTGGCTGCCCTATAAGTGAAACTTTAAATCAAACAGTGCAGAGTGCTTTAGTAGCTTCGGCACTAAATGGGCTTCTTCCACAACAAGTTACACAGAACTAAAAGACTTGAGCGTAGTGAGATTTTACTCATAGCAGGGAGAAAATGGAGAGAGTAAAAGTCAAGAACACTGTGAAGACAGTAAATTCCCATTTTTTCCTTGGTTAGGTATATATTGGGAGAAGAGAGGAAAACTAATTTAACCAGGAAGAGAAAAAATAATAGAAAGACTACCAGTAAAATTTGGTTAAGAAAATTCTTATACTTGTCTGGTTTAGTGATAGCAAATAAGTGTAAAGGGCAGAAGACTTACTTAAGTTACAAATGCCAGTATCATCAACTCTTAGATATGTATATTATTGGAAGGTTACAGAAACAGGGTGAATTTTAAAAGTGTGTCTATTTGGAATATAATCTGGATTTGAGATTTCATATGGGAGACTCAAATTCTAGGAACTGTCTTCTACTAACCCAAGTTTAAGACCTTCCTTCCCTCAAAAGAGAGACAAAAGAGATTAACCCAAGCCAATTTTAAGTATCAATAAATGTAAACAAAAATATTTCTGGAGGAGCCAAAATGTAAACAATCTACCTTTGGATAATGAAATGTTGATGTTTAATAACGTTCTTTTGCAAGCCCTGGCTGCATAGCTTAGTCGGTTAGAGCATCATCCTAATACACCAATGTTGCAGGTTTGATCCCGAGTCAGGGCACATACAAGAATCAACCAGTGAATGCATAAACAGGTAGAACAACAAGTTGATGTTTTTCTCTCCCTCTCTCTCCCCCTCTCTCTTTCTCTCTCTAACTATAAAACCAATAAATAAAAATTTTAAAAATAACACTCCTTTGCATGTGCATAGTGCTATTTAATTTTAAATCTAACAGTTTAGCATCAAAACAAAGTTAAGATAAGTATGGTAGGTATTTTCCCCAGCAGCTTAAAGATGAATAAAATTAAAGTGCCACTAAATTAATGACTTTGTAAGGATTCAGCTTGCGCTTGTGCGGGAGGTCTGTACTTAGAACCCAGTTTTCTCTGAGCAGAGTTGTCTTTTCCAACTCTATGTTAATGACAATAAATCAAAGCATTCTTGTCTGCATTCATTAGCAAGTATCCAAAGTAGACATGAGACTTACTTCCATGCCCCAATTTTACATTTTGCAAATACACATATTTAAGAACTTCACCTCAGAAATTAAAGGCAGGATTGCCACCATTAAATAAATTCACATTTTCCTTTCTTTAGTCAAGAGCAGCACGGGACAGAAAAGAAAAGGCAGCAGGGTACCCACTTTCACTTCAGTCAGTAGGCAGCTGGTTGTTGTGTAGAGAATAATTTTCTAAAGAAATAGGCACACTCCTCAGAAAAGGTTCCTGGCAACTCAGCTCTTCTGAGAAGAACACCTGTTCTTGGTCATTCAAGGCCTTTGCAATTTCACTTGAGAAAGCAAAAAGCAGTACTATGAGAAAATATAACATGGTACAGGGTTTCTCCTATGAGGAAGGTGCAAGAGAAAGGCAAAGGGAGAGCAGTATCTGAAGAAAGCAAGTCCCTGGTTGGAGGCTAGCACCACTGTGGAGATAGGGCATAGGGCATGTGCCTGCATTGAACAAAAAGGTAAGAGAGAAATAGGGAACAGGTTTCTCAATGAAATTTGAGAATAGAAGGCAACCAACACCCTCAGTTTACTTATTATAAGGCTCCTTTCTTTCTCCTCTCCCCCCCTGTTGTCAAAACTCTAACATCCAACACAAACCCTACACTCCTACAGATCTTTTTCCTTCATGCCGAAGTGCAAAAATCCAATTTGTGTGGTTTTTAAAAATATTTTTGTTGTTTTTGAGAGAGAGAGAGGAAGGGACAAACAGCCAAGTGAGAAAGTTACATTGATCAGCTGCTTCCTGCACGCCCCCCACCGGGGATCAAGCCAGCAACCCAGGCACATGCCATGACAGGGAACTGAACCAGCAACCCCCTGGTATACCAGACGATGCCCAACCAACTGAGCCACACCAGCCAGGGCCAATTTGTTTTTATAAGTTCTGCTTAGAATATGGAGCCCAATGTCTCTTTTCTTTTTTTTCTTTTTTCTTTTTTGCCACACAAATCATGTTGGCTTCATTTATCAAAGTCTAGTGGCATGTTACTATTTATTTTTGCTGAGTGACTTCCTCACTTCTTTCCATTGGCATCTGATCTTCACATAAAGAGTCACTTTTTGTGTTTTCTTGTTAAAGGTTCCACAATGCATCTAGTCAGGACTCTACATGCCCATTGGAGACCTGTGTGAACTTCGTGAGCATTTGCAGTCTTCTTATGGCTGCTTTTTCCCCAAATCAAACCAATTCATCCAAGAATGTTGTTTTTATTTCAGGCTACTCAAAGAGCATCTTGGAGAAAAAGAAGTTGAGTTGGCACTCATCTTTGATTCAGTGGTGGAGGCTGACCTGGCAAATTATACCTGCCATGTGGAAAACCGAAATGGACGGAAACATGCTAGTGTTCTGCTGCGTAAAAAGGGTATTTAGTTTTATATTTACTACTATGGTTTGTTTACCTACCAAATAACTATCAAAGTGAGATTTGTTTCCTGGTCTTATGTTATCATTTAGTATAAACTTCTATTAAACATTCTATCTTTTTCAGGAAAAATCTCTCTCTTGCTGTGAATATTAACACAAAATGACTATGATCTTCTATATGATTATAAAATGGATAAATAAAATGAAATATTATTATGTGTTAAATCCAGTAAGATAAAATGTACCCTGGTTGTGTTACTTAAAATTTAATAAGTATCGTCATTCAAAATTAAATCTATATTTCACCATCTAAAGAAATACTAAGAATTTCATTATTGGATGGGAAACAAAGTCACTTTTTATTTCCTGACCAAAATATAAATAAAAATAATGAATAGTATTATATAATTTTTTTATAATTGTTATGAACATGATTATAAAGAATATTTGATGATATGACCTGGTGTTAAAAGGGCTTCCGCAGGTGCATATATTTTTAAACAATTTAGCATTTATGGAGATCCCTCTCTACAGTTGATTCCAGATGGGGTGGAAATTGTATTAATAGGCAAAGAAAATAAACTGTACACTTACAAAGCAAGGAGATAAAAGCAGACATAGGAACAATAATCCCAGCAGCTGGAGCAGCTTCTGAGATTGGCTCTTACCCTGCCACAACTCTTGATTACTGCAAAAGGCTAAATAGGTTCTGTATGTGTGCATCTGGCAAAGGTTTTTCAATGTAACAGAACAAATGTTCTCAATCAGTGTTCTTGTTGTCTAGGCTATAAAGCAATAGAACAGATTCAATCAGCAAGGTCACTAGTTGTACCTCCTTGCCAAGATGGAAATTTTATTTTCCAGCCAGCTCTAATACTTGACTTCGACCTGAAGCTCTAAGAGAAGTAGGGAAATGTCATTATTCTGAAATAACGCTTTTATCTCTCCAGCACCATTTCTTACTCTGTTGGAATTGGATCCATCTGAAAAAAATGGAGCATTTAAGTACAAAGGAGTGTAATATGGAAAGTGAAGTCAGGAGACCCTGGTTGACAAGATCCTACTTCATCCACTGATTCAGCTACCTGGTTCAGTAGGACTAACTTGTCTGATTAGACATTCTGAACTGTTTGTTTACTCATTTGTAAAATAGGGGCAATAATATCTAACTTGTAGAGTTACTTTGAGATTAAAATGATAAAGATATGGTGTGAAATGTAACATGTTCAAACATGGTTTGCTATTATACAGAATTTGGATAAGTTCTCCTATGCACTAGGCAACCATTTAGTCCACCTACATGAAGGGCAGACATTGATCATATCTAGATACCTTGCAGCAAGAATTATTTTGTTCCTGTCCATCTCAGTTTTATATTAGCCTCAGAATTCCTCTAAGCCAGGATGTGATGCACTTTTCTATCCTCAGCAACTTGGGCAGTGTCTGGCAACTAATAGACACTCAGAGCCCATTCTGGTTAATGAATGAAGAAAGTTCTCTTTTATTACTGAGGTGCATGTATAGCAAGCATTGTGCAGATACTGGAGAATAGAGCTCTGAATAAGATAGAGATCCCCAAGTCTATGTGAGGCTTATAGTCTCCAGAGCAGTGAGTGTGCAAAGAAAAACATTTTTTAAAATGCACAAAAGATATATAGTGTTATAATTAAAAACTTGCTATGAGGAAAAATAAATAATGGGACTCCTTTCGTTCAGTCAATGGAGATAGAAATAGGTGTATTTCAAATTATAAAACAAATCCATTTCTCTTTTATTAAGTAAAGCCACCACTAGCAGCCCTTAAAATTTCTAATAATCTAACATTAGAATCCAAGCTATACCATAAAACTGCCACCTCCCATGGCTTCTGCAAGGAAATGTGTTTAAATCATGAATACCTGTGAATACTATTAATTCTCATCTTCCTGATCTCTAAATACTAGAGTTTCCCAGGGTTTAGGTCCCCTATTCTCATTTACTTTATTTATTTTTATATTGAATTTACTGGGGTGAATTAATTAATTAATTAAATTATACAGGTTTCAGGTGTACAATTCTATAATACATAATTTGAATATTGTGTAGTGTGTTCACCACCCAAAGTCAAGTATCCGTCCATCAATATTTTTCCCCCCTTGATCCTCTTCTACCTCCCTCCCCTCCCTTTTCTCTCTGGTAATCACCATGCTGGTGTCTGTGTCTGAGTTTTTTTTCTTTTTTTCTCAATCCCTTCACCTTTTCCACCCAGCTCCCCAACCCCCTTTTCTTCTGACAGCTGTCAGTCTGTTCTCTATGTATGAGTCTGTTTCTATTTTGTTTGCTTGTTTATTTTGTTCATTAGATTCCACATATGAGTGAAATCACACAGTACTTGTCTTTTTCTGGCTGGCTTCTTTCATGGAGCATAATAATCTCCAGGTCCACCCATGCTGTTGCAAAGAGTAAGATTTCCTTCTTGTCACTGCCGAGTAGTATTCCATGGTGTAAATGTCCCACAGCTCTTTTATCCACTCATCTACTGATGGGCACTTGGGCTTCCAAATCTTGGCTATTGTAAATAACACTGTGATAAACATATGGGGCGCATATATTTTTTTGAATCATTCTTTTTGGTTTCTTTAAAAATATTCCTAGAAATTGAATCCCTGGGTCATAAAGCAATTACATTTTTTAATTTTTTGAGGTAACTCCATACTGCTTTCAATAGTAGCTGCATCAATCTGCATTGTCACCAACAGTGAATGAGGGTTCCCTTTTCTCCACATCCTTGCAAGCACTTGTTTGTTGATTTATTGATGATAGCCATTGTGGAAGGATATGAGGTGATATCTCATTGTGGTTTTAATTTGCATCTCTCTAATGACTAGAGGTGTTAAGCATCTTTTCATGTCTATTGGCCATCTGTATGTCCTCTTTGGAGAAGTGTCCATTCAGGTACTGTGCCCACTTTTTAATTGTATTGTTTTGTTTTTTGGTCTTGAGTTTAAAAGTCCTTTATAAATTTTGGATGTTAACCTCACATCAGATGTATCATTTGTGAATCTGTTCTCCCATTCAGTGGGTTGTCCTTTCATTTTGTTGATGGCTTAGATGATTTCATTTCATCTCCATATCAAGGCTTTTTTTTATCATTTATTGTTTGACAACTCACAAATTTATTTTTGTAGCCTGAACTTCCTGCTTAAACTCCAAAGTTGTATACCTAACTACTTACTCAATAACTATTAAAAATCTCATTAATATGGCATTGGAATTCAGTAGAGGTGTATAAATATTTGCCAACTTTTGTTTTAAAAATCTCCACTAGTAGACATATCAAGCTTCACTTGTTTAAAACAGAACTTCTGATTTCTTCTCTCTATAAACCTGATCCTCCAGTTTCCTTCTGGTAGTATTGCTGTCAACATACTACCAGTTGTTCAGTCCAAAATCCTTGGAGTCATCCTTAACTTTTTTTTCTCTACTCATATGCTACATCTAGTTCACCAGCAAGTCTCATGGCTCTACTTTCATGGATTTGTGTTCAAAATATATCCATACTTTGACCACTTTCCCCACCTTCACTGCTACCACCCTGTTTTGAGCCAAAAGCATCAATTGCCAGCTCACTGCAATAGCCTCCTAACTGGTCTCTGTGCTTCCCCCATCTTCCCTTACAGTCTATTACTACAGCAGCCAGAATGATCCTTTTATATGTAATTCAGGTCATATTAGTCCTTTAATCAGAACCCTCCAATTACAGTAGCCTCACTGGTACACTTAGAATAAAATCCCAAATTATTGTCATGGCCTAAAAGGCATGACACAATCTGTTGTAATTTCTGATCTCATTATCACCTCAATCTGCCTCAAACATCACATGCACTAGCAACTTTTCAATTTCTCATGCTCACCAAGCACAGTCCCAGCTCATGGTCATTGCTCTTTGTATTTCCTCTGCCTAGGACATTCTTCCCTAAGTTATTCCCATTGCTCATTCCCTCTTTTCATACTGGTCTCTACTTAAATATTACCTACTTGATAGAGTTTCCCTGGCCACCCTCTATAAAATAATATTACCCATCACTCTATTTTAAAACTCTTTAGCCCTATTAAAGTAAAATTGGCAACTAAAATTATAAGGTACTTAAAGTGTACAATGTGACAACGTTATATACATACACATTGTGAAATAATTTCCCCCATTGAGGTAATTTACACATCTATCACCTCACATGTTTATTTTTTTTTGTAAGCATATTTATTTTCTAGACTCTTAGCAAATTTTAATTATACAATACAGTGTTATAAACTATAGTTCTCATGTTATACATTAGATCCTCAGACCCTATTCATCTTATAACTGAAAGTTTGTATCCTTTTACCAACATTCTCCTACTGCCTCCCCCACCATCCAGCTCCTGACAGCCACTTTTCTACTATCTATTTATATGACTCCAGCTTTTTTTTTTTTTTTAATATATCTTTATTGATTTGAGACAGGAAAGGAGAGAGAGAGAGAGAGATAGAAACATCAATGATGAGAGAGTCATTGATCCGCTGCCTAGCCCACAATCCGGGCATGTGCCCTGACTGGGAATCAAACCCCTCTCGCCTGTATCCTGGGTGGACTCTCAACTACTGAGCCACACCCGGCCTGGCCAGCATTTTTTTAGATTCTACATATAAGTGATACTATGCAGTATAGTATTTATATTTCTCTGCCTTATTTCATTTAGTATAATGCCCTTCAGGTTCCTCAATATTACAGCAAATGACAGGATTTCCTTCTCTTTTAGGCTCAATAATATTTCATTTTATATATATACACATATGTGTGTGTGTGTGTGTGTGTGTGTGTGTGTGTGTGTGT